TAACGGACGAACTTGCGGAAAAAATCACGTGGAAGGGGGTTCTGATTTATCGATTCACGTGGTGGAGGAATTTTTGTTGAATTCGTGAGGGGTGTGTCCTCATTGGAACATGCAGAAAAATATATGCAACAGCGTGAGAGTTTGAAGTTTGTCGATCGGTGTGCGACGGTGTTGTTAGTTCGTTAGATACAGAGATATTTCTGAAGTTTTTATCGGTTTTTATTGATGTGTTCTTTTATTGTTTTCAATAAATAATGTCAAGTATTAAAAATATATTGTCAGTGTTTATTAAAATTTTCCAAATTTCCAATGTTTAAAGGTTATAAAGCGATGTTATAAAGATTTAATTTAAAATGTTTTAAAAATGTTTATCACTGACTCATGAATCCAAAATGTAAATAATTAATCTTGCCCTTCAACCCCTTATCGTGTACGTAGATTTATCGTGACCTCTTACATGATTCACGTTCTTTTTAAAGGGGGAGAATAATTTACTTATCGAGTGACTCACGATGCATGTACGATGGATATATTTTTATCATGATAATAATATAAAAACATGATGGAAACGACGAAAAATTTATTTTAATATCAAAATCGATCGAAGATTCATATATAAAAAAAAAAATCTTCGATCAATCTAACATAAATCGAAGAAGAAATCAAACAATATTATCTCGATCCAGAATATTTCGAACAAAATAAATTAAAAAAAATACCTAATAATTAAAAGGAATTAAAAAAAGCTAATTTAACCCGTTGATCAAAACTCGATCAACGAACTGAAATTTATCGATTTCAATAAAGCAGATATGAAACAAAGTAACAATAACGTTCGTCTATTGCTCGTTTCCATACGAACGAAACGAAACACAACGAGACGGAAAAGGGAAAGGAACAAGGAGGGGGATGAAGAAGTAAAAAACACGTAGAAGCAAAGGGATGAAAGGGCGCAGTGTGACGGACACTACGGTAAAAGATAAAATGGCAGAATTGTAATCGTAGCAATAACGGAACGAGTGCGCACGATTACATTCATTCTTTGTGTGTGACTCGTCAGACTGATCTAACCACGCGATTTACAAAAGAATCGTATTTGTTTCTCCTCGTGTACAATCGCGCGCCTAACGATTCAAAATGGAATCCCTTTCTTTCTTTTTGAGAGCGCAATACCGATTCCGCCTCGTGTCGTTTCAAAAGACGCGCGCTTCACGGCGAAACAAATTTGTTGAAAAAAAAAAAAAAAAAAA